TTTAACCTTGACTGTTTCAAAGATATCACTTGTGTTCCTTTCTTTCTCTGAGAAGACCCTTGCATTTCTTTCTTCCCAAACAGTCCAAAGAATGGCAGCTCTAATGCAGTTCCACATTAACCTCTCCTCTCTTTGTTGTCCATCCAAAGGTAGTTGTGTCAAATAGGCTTTGAACATCCACCGGAGGATTCCACCTGCACCCAAAAAGAGAAAAGCATCAATCCCAAATAGAAGTAACGAAGAACAAGAGATGAAACGGTGGAGGCAACTCTCACCATTGGCTTTACACAATACACATCAATGAGGGGATAAACACCAATTTGGCCTCTTTCTTTGGAGTAGGTCAAGAGTATTGATCTTTCCATGAGCCACTTCCCAACAAAAGGCAGCAACCCTAGGTGGAACAGCTTTGCACACCTCTTTCGCCAGAAAAGGAGGCATACCACTATAGGATGGTTGTAGAAGTGTTTTAAAGGAGGCACATGAGAAGGACCTTGATGGGGTACAAGTCCAAACTCGGCTATCAGGCCTTGGAGGTTCAATGAAAACTCCTTCCAATAACTGTAAAGGCTAAGAGGACATTGAAGTTCTGAGTCTCGGATACCCCTCCGGAAACCCAAGTCCCATTTAACCCAATTGAGTGAAGGTGGAGATTGGACAAGGAACTTAGAAACTGGCTCATTTTTAAAGCTTGAGAGGGCAACAGGAGAGGGAAATTGGTCCTTTAAAGGAGAGTTTCCCAGCCAGATGTGTTCCCAGAATTTAATATTATTACCATTACAAGGGTTGTAATAGATGGAAGGAAGGAAGAGAGGTAAGATTGCATTAATGGCTTTCCAAGGTGGGGGTCGGTTTGCCCTAGGCAGCACACCAGCATCCCGTCCATTATCCAAGAGCCCATGAATACTTACTACCACCTTTGTCCACAATTTATCCCCATCTTGAAGCAGTCTCCAAAGCCACTTTCCTAACAATGCCATATTCCTTTTTTATACTTTCCCTAATCCCAAGCCCCTTGCATTCTTATCCCCTGCAAGCCCATCTTCTTCTATGATCTCTCTTTTCCTCCCTTGGCTTCCACAAGAAATCCCTCATTGTCACCTCCAATTTCTTGTTCACACTCACTGGAATTTTGAAGACTGAACTATAGTAGACAGGTAAGTTAGCTAGCGTTGCTTTAATCAAAGTTGTTCTGCCATCTAGAGACAAATATCCTTCTTCCAACTAGCCAACTTCCTAGAGAATTTTTCTAGCACTGGATTCCAAAAACCTTCTTCTTTTGGATTTGCTCCAAGAGGTAACTCCAAATATGTTAGGGGCCAGGACACAACACTACAGCCTAGAATGCTTGCACACACTCTGCCATCTCCCCATCCTGCATGTTTATCCCAGCTAGGTAGCTTTTTTCAAAGTTTATCCTTAAGTTTGACAATCTTTCAAACAACTGCTCCGTGAGTTTCAAATTCCTTACCCAATCAAGTTCTCTCCTTCACAAAAGAGAATAGTGTCATCTGCAAATTACAGATGGGTAATTGGTACCCCTTCTCTTCCCACTCTCTAGTCTCTGACTAGCCCTCTCAAATCTGCCCTCAACAGGATTCTACTCAGAACATCCACTATTAGTGTGATGAGAAAAGGGGAGAGAGGATCTCCTTGTCTTAGTCCTTGTTCAGCTAGAAAGCAGTCTACAACTGTGCCTTTTACTAATACTGAATATTGACAAGTTCTCAAACACCCCCAAATCCATTTTCTCCAGCTCTCTCCGAACCCACAATGTCTCATGATCTCAATCAGAAAAGTCCAATCAACTAAATCATAGGCTTTCTCTAAGTCCAGCTTGTAAAGGGGAAGACATATCACTGGAAGGATACTTAAATGCAGATTGAGCAGGGTCCTCAATGGATAGGAAGTTAACTACAGGTATTGTACCTTTTTTGGTGGATATCTTCTTCCATGGAAAAGTAAGTAGTGGTTGCTAGAAATAGTGCTGAGGCTGAGTATAGGGCCACTTGCAAGTTGTTTTGGTTAAAGCATCTTCTTCAAGAGATTGGAGTGCCTATTTTTAAGTGTATACAATTATTTTGTGACAACCAAGCTGCTACACATCTTAAAATCCAGTCTTTCATGAAATATCATGAAGGGACTAAACACATAGATGTGGACTGCCATTTGTAAGGGAGAAAGTAGCAAATGGTGATATGGTTGCTCCATATGTCAAGTCAGAAGATCAATTGGTTGATGTCTTCACGAGGATGGGTTACATTTGTATCAAGCTGGAGATTTATGACATTTATGCTCTAGTTTGAGGGAGAGTGCTAATATAGGTGGTAGTAGTTCAGTGTTTTTACTTTTATAAAATGGGTATATAATAAAATAAGACCTTGTTTGGTGCATCTTTCTGCACGGGCTGTTGGCTTTTCGGAAGCCCAGTAGCTTGCATTTTTGTCTTCCTCTGTTTGGTTGGAGGAAGAGCTTTCCGCTGAAAGACCGTGCCCCGAAAAGACGTGAGAAGCTTGATTTGAGCTTATTTCGGGAAGCTAGAAATGGAGCTTCTCGCCTTTTTGGCCTTCTCAAGTCTTGTCTTCGCACGGAAAGACGTGTGAAAAGACCCACCTCTAACCAAATGGTCTGTGGGCTGCCAAGATCTTTATGTAAAAGCTCACACTGTCCTCTGGCTGTCAGATCTTCTGGAAGATCTTTCAAAAGACTTGCCAAACGGCATCTAAATCTAGGCAGCTGATAGAGTTGACTGAACTCTGCTGTTTTTCTTTACCCTATTTTCCTCTTCTATTTCTTCATTCTCTTACTTCCTCTGTATTCTCTCTTAGTTTTCTGGTTAACATAACTATTTTTAATGGTTTACTTGAGACGACAGATGCTCTACTAATGTCAACTAAGTTGGATCTAGAGATGACAGACGCTCTATTTTGGTTATTGTACATTTGTCATAGGAAATATTGTCTCATTAAGAAGCAGCTTGAAGATAGGGCTATGGACCATGGTGTTTTTGAACTGCTATGGTTGAAGAACTTGTTGACAGAGTGGCATGCAATTTGAGAGGCCCATGAATCTGTACTGAAACAGTCAAGTGACTATCAACGTAGCTCGCAATTCAGTTTAACATGATCAAACAAAACATATAAAAAGTGGGCCACCTTTAGTATCAGAAGTTATTAGACAATGATACCCGCCCCTTAAGCTACAAAAATATTATTCATGCCTAGCTTGGAAAGATTCTCTTCCAACTTCAATTGAGGCAATCCCTTTGGCAAACGATCAGCTAGCTGGTCACTTGATTTCACAAAAGGTAGACAAACATATCTCTACTAATCACTGTTTCACAGAAAAATGCTTGCTGGCTTCTATATGCTTTGTGCAATCATGTTGAATAGGGTTGTTTGTAGTATTAATAGTGGCTTGGTTGTCATAAAACAACTTCATGGGACAATCAAAGGCAACTCCCAACTTTGTTAGAAGAGTTCAGTCACAGTAATTTAGGGACACCATGAGCCATTGTTCTATACTCAATTTCTAGACTTGATCTTGCTACAATCGATTGTTTCTTTCTCCTCTATGGATCGATTTTTCCTACCAACAAAGTGTAATACTCAGAATTAGATTTTGTCATGAAGAGATCCAGCCCAATCAGCACTAATATGGTCTTCAATCCTTAGATGACCATGAGAGGCATATAACAATCCCTTACCAAGAGTTTCCTTCAAGTAACATGGTATTCTTTCAACCATGTCAAGGAAGTCTTGGCTGATGCATATATATTGATTGACCACACTAACAACATAAAAGATGTCAAGTTCAGTCAATTTGGATAAAACAATTTTCCCACCAATCATTGACACATCGTCCACCTTCTGAAAAGCTCCTCTAAAAAACCAAACTTGACTGTAGATCATTACATATATATATATATACACATTATGTATAAAATACATATTTTAAATATATGCGGGCCAGGCCAGCCCGGGCTGGGCTTTTGAAGTATTTGGCCAAGGCCTGGCCCTGAAATTTGCATGCCTGAACAAAAACAAAGGTATTTGTTTTTGCATGCCAGAATTTCTGTGTCAGGCCAGGCCGAAATGATCACTCCTACCTATTTCACCTTTCATTGTGTAGCTCAAGCTTTTGGTTATGTTACAGTATTAGTTTTACGTTCATTGGATGCAGTGGTATAACATCAGCCACATATACCATTTTGCATATTTGCAGTGATGATGTGTCAGGGAAGAATTTTCTTTATTTTGGGATATTTATTGTTATGATAATTCTGGACTTATTTTTGGTAATGTTACTCTTCTCTGTTGCGATTTATTCTGTTTGTTCTCTCTATGAAATGGAGAGATGGCTATGATATATATATATATATATAGACATGGACACATCTCTTTTTGACACAGACCTGTATGCACCTTCAATGATACTGTGTGTATTTTGTAAGGAATGATATATTATCTGTATACACTTTTTTTTTCCCATTTAGAGCCTTTTGTAGTCATGTGTTATAACCCAAAAAAGTTGTGTTATGTTATTGAACTCATTACTTGTCATTGTGCAAGCAGCATAAGTGGCAATATACTAGGTACTAAATCTCTTAATGTATCTCAATTGAGTCTGGATTTCCTACAAATTTTCCTGTATTAACCAATTACTCTGTTCAAGCTTGGTTGATCTCGCATGTGTGGGGTCTTTCCATGCATATAATGGAAAATCTGCCACATTGTGATTGGTTAGTATAGGAGAAAAAGTTAGGAAATATAGACAATCTCAAATGACTCAGTAATTCTTTTATTCATGCCATTGTTTGCATCACAAGGCTATTTTAAGTAAACTGTTAATAAAATGGAGGACAAGTATTGACTACTTGCTCTCCCAGAGTGATCATGTTTTTTTAATAAGCTCCTGGAGTGACCATGTCATCAACTTTTTATCACTAAACTTATTTGTATGTCTGTATCTAAATGAATCTTTGAATTTGAAAAGTTCAGCATATAATATGGAGAAGTCTGAGGCTTTTGGGAAGCCATTATCTGTATCAAAGGAGAAGATTCATGCAGCATCTGTCTCTACAATTGAGGTATTCAACTATTGCCATGCAGTCCATGTCATTCTTGGCCTTTTTTTTTCTTTTTCCGATATGTAAATTTTGTTGTCTTGAAAATAAGTAGTTAGCTTCCCATTGATATTGATGTTTTAGTACAGTCGTAAAAACAGGCAAACTTGCTCAAGGATGATATTTGTTAGGAGCCTTTATAAAACCTAACATTGGTAGCTGAGTTATTATTTAGAAATGTGTGGCAATGAAATTTATCTGTTTTGCAGGGTTTTAAGGATACAGTTATTGGTCATCCTGAAGTGACTGCTAATTATAAAAAGGCATGCCTCGTCTTCCTTTCCAGTCTTGGTCTTCTCCTTGGTGTAATTCATGACACTAATATCAGGACATCTGCTACTTACTGCTTTTTGTCTGGCAGGTGTCTGGAGATACTTCTTCACTCTCTGGTTCTAAAACAAGCTTTGATAGTTCCAAGGCATGATTCTTCTGTACCTTACTATTTACCTTTCGTCATATGATTGAAAATATTTCCACTTGATCACATAGACTTTTACATGTGTTTCTGTCATATGTAGGCTTTTACAGGCTCCATTATAGAGCACGCTTATAATTCACAAACAAAGCCTGCTGAGCAGACAGTGACTTCATCTCAGGTAGTTCCGTTCATCTTATGGTGATGTATAGTTTACTCACTACCTACATCCCCTAATGGTGTCTGCCTTTCCACAGTCAACTTGTTCACGACCTACAAAACCGGTTTCTAGGTTCAAGATGCAGAAAGGTGGTCGTTGACACAGGTGCCTAGGTGGGAACCTGCTGTACTATTTGATTAAAACATTTATATTTCTGATCGTTGAACATGCTAGACCGTGGGAGTTGCGGTTGTTGTTGTACTTGAAATTGGCAAACACCCACCAAGAGACGAAGAAACCCAAGATTTGCTTCATGGTTGCTGCAAAGTTCTTCAATACATTAGAATGTAATTTGGATAATTTGGATTATTAGATTTCACATAGAACAAAGAAACCTTGGAAAAGGGAAATGAACTTGAGGCAAAATCATCTTATGAGCCAATGATCAGATTAATCTTTTCTGAAACGTTTCCTTCCATTTTCACGAAGAGATAATGGAATCTCGGTATAGTTGTCCTTGAAAACATTTACATACATCATGGCACACAAGTATGAACTGGACGGTAATCATAAAATTTTGATAGAACTTTTTTGATGTGGTATGTTGATGGTAAAATGGGAGAACAAGAACATTTTGCAACCATGGTTGGTCAGTACTTGTTTTGATTTCAGAAGCTGAAATAGGCTTGGAAATGGGAGGGCTTTGTGCTATTTAGAAATGGGTCAGCTTGGAACTTGGAAGTGCTAATGGATGAGGATCAAGTATTTGGGGTTGATTTAAATCCTGTATTGCCTGTTTTTGGGGTGTATAATGAAATAAAAAATAAATGGGAAGTCTCTTGGATGGACATTCTAGCCGAGGTTCATATCGATACCGTGTTTTATGTTTTTTTATTTTTTTATTTTTTTTTCAAAACTGGTTCAGGGGGGCCGGTTTAGGGCTCCTCCACCCCCTGAACTGGTCAGAACCCCGATACACCCCTACAGAGGGTGTATCGGGAAGCCACTGGCACGATACGTATCAGCCGATACATATTGATACTCTGAACCTTGATCTATTTGGCTTGATTTGAGTCCCTTTAATAGGAGAGAGACGTACTAATCTTGTAACTTGTCCTTCGCTCAGCTAGGGTTTCATGATGAAGTTTGAATGCAAATAACATGGGGATTCACGAGTTGCATTACATGAAATAGGTCACTAGTTTGTGGAAACTATCATTTGCCTCAATTTCGGCTTGATTTCGTGGGGTTTTGGGCGCCCAATGGATAATAAGGCATTCCCAACAATGTCTGACTCGAAGTCAAGGCTTTTAGTGGTAGAAAATATTAATTTTGAATTGGGCATAAGAGATATTTTGTTTGTTCATTGGTGTAAGTGGAGGTGTCTTTGGTTTTTCTCGGTGTTTTCTTTAAGCCTGTTTGACATGTTTTAATTGATCCTTCAAGACTATATTGTCCAGATGGAACACCACATATAGTCACTATCTAGACTAATTACTATCAAATGGGATTTAAGCATGATTATATTGCAACTAAGGAACTACTAAAAACTCCATTTCTTGTATTGAGACTTTCTTAAGGCATTAGCATAAGATCACATAAGTATATTAGGAATTTCCAATTGAATCGGAACACTATAGGACAAGCCCTAGGAAACTTTTCTTAGAGTTCTAATAATACATGGACTAATTTTATATTTACTCTAAACTCTTTTGAAGCCTGAATGGTGAATGCTACAGTCTATTGCAATCGAGATTTCTGTTAGACAGTTATGCCCTTAGCTTCAATTAGATTGATGTATTTATTGATATTTATTGTAAATGAATAAAGTGTATAATTGATTCATGTTATTTTGGAATGTTTGTGTAAAACCCTTAAACTGGATATTTATGAGACTCATGTTAGTTTATAATCTTCACAGCCATTGGATAGATTTGGGGAGATTTATCATGCCAAGGCTGACACTGATGTGCTACCAAAAAGGTTGGGGTGACTTGTCTCAGCTGCCAGGATAAGACCCAAAGCACATGTAGTGTGAGTTTTTTTGAAACCCTGAAACGAACCAAATTCCAGTATTGCACTGGCCCTTGGAGACAAATGGACAAGACTGAAATGTTACACCTGACCCCTAAACTCGATTATGGTACTACACTAGGTGTCGGATTTGACTGTCTTTGATATGCCAATCAGTGGGATTCTTAACCGAGTCAAAACCTGGGTATGTTGGGGCAGTCCGAAAATTCAACTGAGTGGGTGATCATAGTGACATGATCAACCCCTTTGTCGGACAAAGTGAATGATCGGGGAATGCACTCTCTCTGATGGAAACCTAAACTACCGATAATTGATTTCGAAGTGTTGAGATTTGTTTTGCAAAATATATTTATTTAGAGATATACATATATATTATGGTTTCACAAAATGTTTGCAAAATGTTTTAATTCCTACGATCCATTTGAGTAGAGAGTGCAACACTATACTTTGCAACCGAGGGAGAGGTCTTCTTTTGTCGGGCAGTGTTTGATCATTATGGGCTGAGAGGTTAAGTGAAAGACCATTGAGGGTTATACTTGATGGGCTAATTTTGCATCTGCCCACGGTCTTTGGGCCTTCATAAGGTGGCTGGACCCAACGACCATTTAGTGTAAATGTTGGGCCTATTAAGAGCCCATACTGATGGACTCAGGGGTTCATTGTGTTCTAGAGTGAATTTGGCCAAGCCTTGTAACAAAGGCTGGGCTGAACCCATGTGACTAATGTATAGATCATTGCTGGGGTCCCATGCCATACAAAGAGAGCCAAACTAGCTAGCATTTAAAGGGAAAGTGAGCTATGTGACTAAATGGGCCTAAAGCCCATTTCGAACTGGGCTTAAGTGAGTTAATTAAAAAGGGGCGAATTCTAGTTTATAATCTGATTAGGATTAACTAAAGGATAAGATAAGTCTTATCCATTTAAGAGTCCAAATCCAAATATTAGATTTGGATCAAGAAACTCTTTCCTAATTGGATTAGGAAGCTGATCTAAAGAAGACTATAAATAGGGGGCGAATTCACCAGTTTCATGTACTTAGCAATCTGCAGAATTCTCCTCTAATTCGATTTCCACCCTTGGATATGATCAAGAATAGTTCTTGATATTGTTTGTTGCTAGAAGAAACAATCTAAAGTCATGCTCACCAGCCTCTTGCGTGATTCTTGCTGAAGAATTAGGGTTCTTGCTGAAGAATCACTTTGTTGATCCTACCTCACCATAAGCTTTGTCATCTTTAGTGGAGGTGAGTTTTGGTCACATCTTTGGGCATGAACACCTACGTTGGGAGTTCCTGTTATTCTATATCAGGTACATCCTTACTTGCTTCCTTTTGGTTTCAGATTTGGTTTGGTTTGTTTCAAGAACGAACCTTGAAAATGCAGTTTTCTAAATTAGGGAATGGGATTCTCGGAAGGGAGAAAGAAAATTTTTGAAATTTTGCCCTACCTCCCTGCAAGGTTTGGCCATCTATATGATGGATCTCCACTCCCTTCAGTGGTATCAGAGTCGGGTTCAAGTCTTGAACCAAATTTAGACCAGATTTGGAATTGCGCAAATGGGCAGAAGGTGTTTTACTCAATTTGTGCAATTTGTAGTTTTATTGGGAATTGGTTCCTGGTTTTGGGCATATGATCTGAAAGATAAATTCTTTATTATTTTGTTATATCTGTAGAATTGTTCTGTGGATGTTTCTTGAATTTTGGGTTGCAAGTGTGGTGGAGATCGAAATCTTTTTGGCACCAAGTGTTGCACACCCTATTTATTTTATTCTATTCGATTTGGTCTGTAAATATTTTTTTTAATTTTAGACAAATGGTATAGGATTTGATCTGATGTAAATTAATAGATAAAATAGGTTTTTCTATTTTTTTACATTGGAAGAATTGCTGGAAGTCTACAAGGAGAAGATTTTGCAGAACCAAATTCAGCTATCTGCGATTTACAGATATGGAACTTGCAATCTACGAACTAACTTTTTTTCTTGTAGGATTGTAGCACCACGAACAACCCTCTGATTATTGTTTTGCTAATCTTGAATGTCTTTTTTGGCTATAATTAATTTTCAGATCATAACCTTGAATTGAATCTTGCAATAGACACCAAACCCTAGGTTGATTTGACCCAGATTGGACCAAACTGGTTGGACCGAATCTGTGGTTCAATAAGGACTGTTCTTAGCCCTAATTTTTTTATTATGGGCCAGGGGTTTGATGGCCCATTGCAAGATGCAATTCGACCCACCTTGTAAAAACCCAATTTTATTAAGTTAAATCTGAATCAGCCCTAATTTAGCATAAATGCTATATGGGCTGAACTGCAATACCTAGATAATGTTATATGATAATGTTATAGGCTTTAATGGGCTGATACTAATTTAATCTAATTAATTTAGGGTTTTACAGATGATTTAATTGATTGGATCAATTATGTGATTATTTCATGCATGTGATGTGTGATATGTGATGTGCTACGTACATGGGCCATAAGCACTTAGCCCATGTTAATTTGATAGTGGCTATTTCACACACCATGGCTGAATGCACATCATTGCCATGGTGCCCTTAAGATCATTGGATGATCTCCTTTCTTGATGGGCCCCACATCAGCTTCCTCCCCAAGAGTAATCGTACAGAACCCTTGCCCGTTTAGGGCCCATCTAAATTTGACTTTGAGAAACTCAGTGGAAGCCACTTTGGTTTGACCTAAATAAGAACTATGGTGTAATTACTCGTTCCCTCTAGCAAAATATAAGTGCATGTGATAGGGAGATTCATATGATGAACTCTCTAAAGGCCTTCCATCATTAGCATGAAGATAGGCTTATCAGTAACGAGGAGATGCACCATAAAATTGGGTTATCCATTCATTGGTGTGTCTGTTGAATTGTTTCATAAGATGATAGGGTTGTCATAGACTGATGTGGGAGGGGCTTATCCTAAAATGGAAGATTCTCTCACGGTACTTTGGCGTTCACGAATATGATAGGTAAGCACTTATTGGACAGAAATGTTTAACCTAAAATGACAATGAACCTTGTTTGACTAAGGCCAAAGGGAAAGCTCATAAGATGAGTGGATATGATCCTTCATAGAAGGTGGTGGGGTTATGCAACTAAAACAGTTGGTTCCATGCACTGTATGTGATTTCCTACATTTCTAGAGACATAACCGCAGTCTCCGTCACTAAGATGGGAGGGAAATCTTAGAGATGAATAAATGGAAATGGAACATAGATTAAAAGCCATTTCTATGTGGTTAACATGAAACAATTTAGGTTGTGGACTAATAATCTGCTTTGCCTTTATCAGAAATGGCAAATGGACAATTTGCCAAATTGTTGGATGACAACAAGCTTAAGGGCCCAAACTATTCTAACTGGTTCTGTAACCTTATGCTGCTATTAACGTCCAAGAAATTGGACAAGGTTGCTAAAAACCCTACTCTGGATCATTTTGGGTGATAGGGCTTCTGAGGCCCGTAGGAAGGAATATCAAGAATGGGAATAGAAGAACTCTCTTGCCTGATGTTACATCATAGCCTCCCTCAAAAATCCGATACAGAG